TATATAATAAAGAGATGCTTAATTACAATAATTTTTCAAAGACTCGATTTTTAAATATCAGAATTGTTGAAATAATTTTACTAAATAAAAATTATTCACTTCAGTGTTCAAGAATTTATAAGTTACTAAATCAGACAAAAATTGTGTAATGCACAGTGAAAATAATTTAAAAAAAAAAGACGCTAGACAATTCAGTAGCTTAAATTTTATTTAGTAAAAGATAAGATTCATTTGACTTAAATTTTATATAAATGTAATTGTAAATTTTGTCACATTTTGTAGTATTTATTTGTATTATCTCTAAAATCCTTATTTTTAAGTTAGTGAAAATAAGGTTAACTATCGAAAAGAAATGTAAGCTTAAATATTTGGAGTGTGAAGAAAATAAATTATTATCCTAAATATTTAATGAAAATAAAAATTTTAATTTTTGAGTGATATTATCACACCTCACATGTAGTCGAAAGTTAGAAGCAATGTTTTTTTTTTTTTTTGAGCAAAAATTAGAAGCAATGTTTTAAAAGTTGAAAGATGGTCAACCAAAAAGCTTAGCGGGCCTCTAGTTTTATGATCTAACGTTGTTAAAATAGAACACCAAATTCTTATAATATATATATATATATATATAACACCAAATATTTGATGTAATAATAAATAAAAATAATAATATACTTAATTATTAATAACATTTAATTATAGATGATTTTTTTAAATCATACATGAATGAGCTCAAAAGCATCTACATTTGCATTTATAACCATAAACGTTTACCAAAAAATGGGCAAAACATATATACTTAACCTTATATATTTAATATACTTTTAACAAATCAAAGTAAGACAATTGGATTTTAATGTATTAATAATATTAATAATAAAAATTTGTTATGAAATAAATAATTTATAAAAAAATCTATATGTTTTGATTCAAATGGAAACAGGCACATTAAACATATCATGGTTAAGTATATATTTTTTCTGTTAAAAAATATAAAACATTTTTAATTGAAGTTCACATCTAATAAAGTAGTTACCTACTTTTAAATTAATCCTATATTTTTATATCTACTCCTATCAAACACTTTGCAATAAATATAAAGTCATTTATTAATGGGGACACTTTAAAAAAAAAGTAATTATTACACCTCAAAAGATTAAAAATGCCTTACATTTTTGAATATCCAACCTCACAAAAAATACTTTATATTTTTAAATGAAGGGAGTAAGTTTTTACCTTTTTTTAATTTTTCTAATTTTTTTAAAAAATAGCTTTTTTATAGTATGTTTAAACGTGTCCAATTTTTTAAAAATAGTTTTAATTTCTAATTCAACTCAATTCAATCATAAAAATAATTTTTTATTCAAATTGAGTCATTAATGACTTTAGTTAACAATACAATTGTCCGATCTAATCTCATTCTTAAGAAAGTGGTTGCAAGTTTGATTTGCTTATAAATTTAAGTTATTAGAGTTATTTCTTTCCCCTTAATATTTGGGGGAGATAATTTTTGCTATTGGCTGAGCCTATTCTTCGTGCCATAAGGAAATTTTTAAAAAAAATTCTGACTCCTTATACTTTTTTTTTTGGGCCAAAAATACTCCTTAAACTTAACAAAAAAATAAAGAAAAGAACCATCCCATCCCTTTTAAATGAGAAGGGAATTATTATTATTTTTTTAATTGAGAAAGGAACTAGAATCTCCGCATAAGAATATTCGGTTCTTTTATACGTGGAAGTCAAATCCTTTATGCTCAGTTTTATTCCATCATTGTCGTTTTATTTCACGCGCGCAGTCATTAATATATATATATATATATATATATATGTATATATATAACACATACAGTTAAATCAAATCGAACATGGGGGAAAAAATAACTAATTCGCCTGTAATTCTCGCCTTCTTGCATGGAAATGGTAAATTCTTGAGAGAGGAACTAGAGACATCCCATACCAAATAAAAATCTGTAGTAACAATATCTTGGGAAAATCATAAATAAAGACTTCCAATTATTATAAATAACCAATCAAGACCACAAAATTGTGAAATTTCATTCTAGGACTGGTGTCGCCCTTTTTTTGTAATTTTAAAAATAATAATTTGACAAAAATGCCCCAATTTGGTGATTGAACTTGGAAGTGGAAGTAGACAGTTTTTCAACTCAAACAAAGAAATTTCACAACCGTCTTCAAATAAAATTCCAAGACAATAAAGAAAGAGCCTTAATAAATGAAAGGAGGAGGCATCTTTCACCCACTATCAAAGGTTTTGAATCAAAATTTTTAGATGGATAGGGTAGGGTATTTGTACATCTAACACATAATTTAAATATGAAAAATTTTTCATAAAAAAAGAAATATTGAATGAATTAATCATAAATCATAATATTTTATGATTTATACCTTCTCTAAGGAAGAGATTAATTACAGGAAAAATGAAATTTCCACACTAACGGCAAGCCCCTCTGATATTATTTGAGAATACAAATTCTTGTTGTACCCTCAAAATGAATTTTTGTTAGAATCATTAGCAGAAATAATCAAATGATTTTGTTGATACATTCGAGTAATTAAACATTTTACAATTAGTAAACTAGATTTATTGTCATAACCTAGATTTTACACCAAAATAAAACTATTTAAACCATGATCATAAGTAAGTGCATAAATATACTCTCGAAAAATAAGTGGGTATAAGAAGTCATGTTGACAAAATTTATCTAGTTCTAAATATACTTGAAATTCCTTCTTCTTCTTCTTCGTTTGTTGAGAGTTAAGGTGTATCGGGTCATTGGTCATTGGTCATTGTTTAGGGCTTGCAGATATGTTCTGGGCTTATATGTTAAACGGGCCTGCGTGTGCCTGCGTTTTTATTCTTTTCTTTTGTTTCTTGCTTGGTTTTTGCTGGCTATTTAAAAGCCCGTAAGAGACTTAGAGAATGATGATGAGATACAACGAGAGACAACGCGGTGATCAAGCCCGAACATGGCAAATTGTTCTGAAATGAGTTATTCAAATTGAGTGTGTTTTTTTTTTTACAAGTGCTTTAGTTCTAATGAATTTTAAATTGGTCAATTGTAAGGTTGGAAATAAAAACATTTTCAACTTAGAAGAAGTGACTTTATAATCATCTTCAACTAAATTTTCATTCCAATTAAATTTATTTCAACACTAATGAATTTTAAACTGGTCAATTATAAGTGTGGAAGTAGAAACATCTCCGACTCAAATAAAAAATAATTTCATAATTGCTTTCAACCAAGTTTTGAACTCAATTAAAATGATTTTAACATTAGCAAAATTTAAGTTAGCATTTCAAACAAGGGCATTCTAGTCAAATTATTATTTTTAGAACTATAAAAAGAGAGTGGTCCTGAAATGTAATTTCATAATTTTGTGGTCATGGTCATTTATTTGTGATACTCAGAGATCCTATTATTTGTTATTTTCCCTAATATCTCCCTGGATGCTAATAAGCAATTAAGTTTACAAAAATCAATTTCCAATTAATTATGCAATATATTACAGAACAGTGATGAGAAATTTAGATAATTATTGTGAAATTTTAAAATCAATCTATATGTATATGTTGTGGGAGAAAATCAGAAAATGAATTTTAATTTATCATACAATCTTTCTTTATACCTGTATAAAGATCTTGAATTTTTCACTTTAAACTTTGTAGGAAAAAATTCATTAAACTTCCCAACCAAACTTTTTTGATAGTCGACTCTTAAAATTTTGAAATATCAATTCAGCTCCAGTGCCAATTTGGGCAAAATTAAAATTAAGTTTTTGAAAAAATGACACAAATAACCCCAATACTCTATGTCAGTTGTTTATTTTTCGTATAGCACTTATTTATTTTTCTTATATAAGTTGTTTATGTACATAACTTCATTTATATTGTATTCATGATGATGTTATGTTATTGATGAGAATTACAAATTTTACCCACGTTGATCATTCGTTTTTCAAACATAAATCGTTTATTTTTTTTGCACGAGTTGTTCATACACTTAATTTTACTTATCTTTATTTATAACTAGTATTTCACCATGCAATGCGCGGGTCCTCTTATAAGAATTATAATAATTTTTAATTCAAATTGTATTACTAAATGAGGTTATTTAAATGAAGTTATAATAAAAAAATATATTTTAAAATAATTAAAATATATGATGGTATTGCAATAAAAAAAATTGGGCACAGATTGCAATATAAATGAATTCAAAATGTGATGAATCAAGATTCAAATTCTATTGAGAGAAGTGACTATATTTAGTTTTCAACCATACTTAAAACTGGAATTACATCAATACTCAATCAACACACATACACATGCATTTATTTAAATATACATGTAGAAAACATTTCCTAAATATAATAGATGTGAGTGTACTACAAAAGATATAGGCATGAAATCATAACATACACAAATGAAATACATCTAATATAATATGCAATATATCTAACATGAATGAATGTTCAACAATTCATTTAAACATGAGGTAATATATATATATATATATATATATATATTACCCTCTTCATCTAGAATTAAAATCTTCAAGCCATATTTGCTACGAACTCGAGATATAGCAACGTACAACTGACCATGTATAAATACAGGTCGTGGGATGGATGACTTTCAATAAAGGTGCTGACTTCATCCATGGCAGGATGGATGAACAAACGGGAAGCAAAAAGAGAGTTGGAAACTTTCTTAATCCTTGAAAAAAAAACAACCACCATAATGAATATTCATGAAAACATTAGTTGAATAGATAGTTGTTAACATGGTAACACACCCTTGAAAACTTGTATCCTGCATCACTGGACAATCACAATGATGGGACAATGTGCGGGGCCTTTCATATAACAAAGAACATCATTGGCAAGGGCACCCCATAAAGTAACTTCAAGGTAATTTCTCCTATTTATTCTCGCACAAAAACGATTAAATAATCAAATTTAATCTCTAAAATCATTTCAAAACACTAAAAACACATAAAGGTAAGCAGATCTTTATACTTATCATCATCCAATAATATATCAAGCCTTTGCTCCTGTTGTCCATTGACAACAACTTTTTGAATCTCCCTAACTGCAGCAAGTCTCCTTATGATATCTACATTCAGAAACAACAAACTTTACGTTATGGAATTGGAAATAAAGAAAAACGTATATTAATGCATTACAGAAGAATGACCTACTAACTAAATATTCCTCCCTTGAATCACCGCATATGATATCACTAAATGGGGTAAAGCAGAAGCCATGAGAATGGATCTTATTGTTATCCACCACAGGTCGCACAGTAGTCGAATATTGAAACATCACTTTAAAAGCGTGGTGTGTGGTCCTGTATGATCCAGAATTCTCAACAACACCAAATTGCGTGAGAATAAAGGCACGACCTTCACGAAGAAATCGAGAATGGTGACGAGCAACTCCTTTCCTAACAAAAGCTCTAATTCGATCACCTTGAAAAAAAATCAAGTTGAAAATATAAAAATATGGTTTTATAAGGAATCAATCAGTCTATTAAATGAATCATAGAATATTCAAAACATTAGAATGCAACACACAGCTTCGTCCTGCAAAACCATCTCAAGTGATGTAGGCTCGTTTGAAACAGCATGAGGAGCAATGGACCACAATCGAACAATGCGTACTTTGATCTTCCAATCCTCACGAGATTGATTAATGGAATGAATGCAATTGAATGTTGCAGCCATTTGAAAGAACAATATCACTATTGGAAATTTTACAAATGATTGAGTTTGCCTCACACTGTGTGGGGATGCAATTTTTATATATGCCTCTCCTAGTTTGCATGCCATGCAAGTTAAGAATGTGTGAAGGAAAGGACAACCCCATAATCTCAAAGCAAGACTACACGTTTAGTAAGAAAAGGCACAGAGAAGTGGGAAAAGTGGGGTGGAGATATGGGGTGGGATAGTTATAAGAAAAACCTCAGACGATATTTCAGTTTTTACGTTCTTAGAATGTTTTTCTAATTTTTTGATAGGTTATAAAAACAAAATATAATATTTTGAGTATTTAATAGTGGAAACACACTTGTTATGTGCGCAGTCTTCTAAAAAATTTATTTTATTTTTACAAAGATTAAGTAATAATTACTACTGATACATTATTTAAATAAAATATAATAACATAATTTTCATAAATAAGAACTTCATTTTATTGTTGACATGTTTGCACGAGATGACAATTAAAATATCAAGAAAATTATGTTCTCATATTTATTTCAAATATTATAATTTAACTTAATATCCATTAATTACTCAATCCATAAATCATATATATTTAATTAAATTATAAATGAGAATTATATTAATCAATAACATATAAAGAATTTAATGTAATTATTTTATTAAGTCATACGTTTATAATTTAGTTTTTATTTGTTTATTTATATTAATTTTCTATTTGAATGATAGAATATTGAATAACTAACCATATCTAAAAGAGGAATCGTGGAGTTAGAAAATTATTAGACTACGGGCTAAGAAGTTACCGGAATAAATAATTTAAATAACTATCCATATTAAAATTTAATTATATGCATGAATCAAAAAAATAAAGAAAATTAAGAATTTCATAAATAAGAACTTCATTTTATTGTTGACATGTTTGAATGAGATGACAATTAAAATATCAAGAAAATTATGTTCTCATATTTATTTCAAATATTATAATTTAACTTAATATCCATTAATTACTTAATCCATAAATCATATATATTTAATTAAATTATAAATGAGAATTATATTAATCAATAACATATAAAGAATTTAATGTAATTATTTTATTAAGTCATACGTTTATAATTTAGTTTTTATTTGTTTATTTATATTAATTTTCTATTTGAATGATAGAATATTGAATAACTAACCATATCTAAAGAGGAGTCGTGGAGTTAAGAAATTATTAGATTACGGGCTAAGGAGTTACTATAATAAATAATCTAAATAACTATCTATATTTAAATTTAATTATATGCATGAATCAAAAAAATAAAGAAAATTAAGAATTTCATAAATAAGAATTTCATTTTATTGTTTACATGTTTACACGAGATGACAATTAAAATATCAAGAAAATTATATTGTTATATTTATTTTAAATATTATAATTTAACATAATATCCATTAATTACTCAATCCATAAATCATATATATTTAATTAAATTATAAATGAGAATTATATTAATTAATAACATATAAAGAATTTAATGTAATTATTTTATTAAGTCATACGTTTATAATTCAGTTTTTATTTGTTTATTTATATTAATTTTCTATTTGAATGATAGAATATTGAATAACTAACCATATCTAAAAGAGGAATCGCGGAGTTAGGAAATTATTAGATCATGGGTTAAGAAGTTACTAAAATGAAAGAATAAAAATAAATTATATTCATTAATTAAAAATAATTTTGTAAATAAAATCTTACGTGGCTTTATGAAATTATACTATTTAAAGAAAATGACACTTGTCATTCATAGAGATGTGCTTGTTATTAATGAAAATTTTAAATTTTTCTTACCTAAGTTATTTATTTTCTTTATGTCAATTGTTTTTATTTGAGAGAATTAGGATTATTTGTATCATTTTCCTAAAAAACTTAATTTCAATTAAGTCCAAATGGGATCATCATAATTTTGAAGGGATTGACTGTAAATAAGTTTGGTGGAGGGTTTTAATAAAATTTTCTCAATTTTGTACCCCAAGCACTCATCATTTTGAAGTTTTGACTTTGTTTCAGAATGCTTATTACCTTATAATTTCACTAAAATAACATGGCACTTCATAGCTCATACTTGGCCTCTGTGTGTGTGTGTTTGAGAGAGAGAGAGAGAGAGAGAGAGAGAGAGAGAGAGAGAGAGAGAGAGAGTATATCTCCATTACTAACATATCGAAGTTAGCAAGAAATTGCAGTTTGATATGGAGGATATGAATTCATGGACTGTCAATTTAACCTTAGCAAAGGACGTACTCTGCTTTAATGCCTTCTTCAATATATGAGAGAGCTCAGGAACACATCCACTGCCGCAAGTTCTCTTTCAATATCCACTTGTTATTGATATTAATATTAATATTTAGATTAATTCATGCATGGATAAATTTGTTGGTTCCCTCATGACATTCATCACTCCGTACAAAATTTTGTTCCCCCTCCTCAAAATGTTAAAGTATTGAAAATCAAATCAATTATTAAATTAATCAAGACATTAATTTAAATGATTAGTGATTAAAACTGTAGTTGAATTATGATTAATTTGGTTATAAATAAAATATTTTATTGAGCATTGATGTAATAGTTTATCAATTCAATTAGCTAAATTGACTCAGTTTTTCATAATATGATAATTTTAAAAAGCTATTAAAAAAATCAAAATGAGAGTTGTCTTGATGGATGAGCCTCTTTTTTTTTTTTTATAATAGAAGGAGGACGGGTTTTTGGGGGGGAAAAAATTGGGCCCTTGTTCTGTCAGCCCCTTCTCTTATTTCCTAATTCATATTATTCTCACAGAATATAAATTTGGATTAAAAAATATTTTTCCTTATTAATTATCAACTAAAAAATATTTGATATTTTAAATTTTTATGCGATGATCTGAAAAAAAAAGATTCATAAAATTACATATGAATGCCTTATAAAAAATTAATATAAATTAAAACCCCTAAATTAAATGTAAATAAAAGAATATAAATGTTATTTTTTATCTACGCAAAAAGTTAAACTATAATTTTGACTACTTTTTCATGGGATATGTATTTGCACTTTTAAGTCTCTTTTTTATTTTTTCATTAATTAATTATTAAAATTAATTTTTTAATCAGTGGCTAGTACATTATTTTTAAACGTTGAAAAGAAAAATTACAATGCATGTAATTTACCAAAAAAAAAATTACAGCGCATGTATAAGTGATACAAAATATTCATGAATGAATAATTGAAAAGTAAAAATATTATCTAACATCATAGATTTCATAGACACGGTTTGGGACATTTGTGCCCTGTTATTGACTATTAATTCTATACTATATATATAACACACTTCTCTTGAAAAATGAATATAAAAAATAGAAAAATGAGGAAGGAGTTAGGATCAACAAAGACTTTTATTCTATTAAATTTAATATGATGGATTTATTCTTTTTTTTTTTGGTAATACAATGGGTTTATTCTATTAAAATGAACACAACGGAATCAAACCAAATCAACTAGATGACTTTGAATTATTTTAGACATATAACAACTTATTAAATGCAAAATTCAAACTACACATGTAGAAATCGAAGCTAGAACTGATTATAATAAAAAGAGCTATAGTTAACCGTCACTATACATTACAAAGCACATCTCCTTCAAGAGAACGTCTATATGTTTTGTGGCCGAAAAAATGTCGATATGTTTAAAATTAAATAAAAGTTAGGTGCTTAGTTTTGTATACTTAATATATTTTTATTCAATCAAATCAAGACAAGTAAATTTTAATATATCAATAATATAAATGACAAGAGTTTGTTATAGATTAAATAATTTATAAAAGATTTATATGTCTTGATTTAATCACAAACAACCTTAAGTATATAAGCCCAAGTATATAATTTTTTTTAAATCATATGGAAAACCTCTAATCTAGTTTTTAGCATATATGTAAAATAATTTTGCAATAAAAATACAGCATATGTGTCATAAAATAATACAATAATGGACCGATACGTTTTTTTTTAACATGATATATACCATATTCATTCATCTTTTTTTTTTTAAAATCAAAATAACCATTTACAGCACACACCTAATGTTCAAATTCAAATTCAAAACTTATCTTAAACATTGTTGGAAGCAATACTCGCGTTTAGTAACTAATCATAATTTAAATATCATTGTTTCAAATAGAAGGACTGCGCACAATGACAGATTTAGGATTATGGAAGACAAGATTAAGCTATAAAATGTTTATAACCAGTTTATAAAACATAGCTTCAAGCATTTATCAGGAGAAAAACATTATGCTAGCCCCTCTTAAATCCATCCCTCACTGTGCACTATATATATATATATATATATATATCAAGCCCAAGCAACTATAATCCTACCTATTAATTTAGTGTTGCAGCCAAATTCATGTTCTGCAAACTCCTATACAAATATTCCTCGGATGTTATTTATAAGACAGATGCTAGAGATAAAAGGATTTGTGTCTTATAAAAGTCATGTTATTAAATTATTATCATAATTTTTTCATTCCTATTAAATATTGGTAAGAAAAAATATATTATTAAAGTATATATATTTAACAGGATAAAATTAATAACTTATTAGATTTTTATAGAATTAGTAAGTTTTAAAATTATTTTTTGATTTGATAAAAAAATTTTGTTGGATGAGTTGAAATGACAAAGCATATATAATAATAAAAAAAAAGTTATATATATATATATATATCACAAACATAACAAATATTTCAAGGTACAACTTTATTTAATTTTACGTATGGATAATAAAAATAAATATATACTTTTATTTTTAAGTTTTGCTTATTGATTTTTTATGTCATAAAATTTTTTTTATCATATTTACAATCAATTTTTTAACAATTTTTTCTTTGATATAAATTATTATTAAATTAGTAAAATTTTTATCATTCTTGTGAAAATTGAATGATTTAAATATATTACTAGGATCTAAAATCCTA